TGTTGTTTGTATACTATTCTTTAAAATAAAGGCTAAGTCTTAGAACTTTTTGATCACCCCTCATATATGGAGTCATTTCTAATTTACTGTAGCATTAGAGCATTATATGACATCAAAACCCCATTGAAGTCAATGGATAGAACCACAATGACTTTGAACAGCATTAGATCAGGCTGTAAGTGAGATCAGAATCAGGTCTACTTTCTGTGAACTATTTTAGGAAGCATATTCTGAATTCCTTCCAAACGATTTAGGTGGGGGCATCTGGTCAAATCCCGAGTGCTGCGGAGCAGTTGCAGTGTTGACTGAACTCAACACGAGTTGCATATACACAAAAAGTCAGAATTAATCCCTGTGAACCAGCCTGTGCACAAATGTCAAATGCTGCCTTTTACATGACTTAAATTACAGGATAAACATTCATTTCTGCAGGGGGTGTTTGCTCTGTTATTATGCGTAATAGCATATGTTGAAAAGGATGTGCAGTAGTACTGAGGACAGACAAATTAATGTGGCTTGAGACATCATGTAATTAAACAGATATGCTAGATACAGGCCACCAATCACTGTGGCATTGTTTAAGAGCAGTATGGATTCAAGCACTTGGGTTAGTAATTGATGAGTAATATATACGTAATTAGGAAAAAAAGTCAAAGGATACTGCAAACTTAACTACTGGAACAGACTTGCTGATTTTAAAACACTGCATTAAAATACAGAAGCACAGTTTACAAATTTGGGGGACACTGTAGGCCCTGTAATGTTCAACCGTAACTGGAAATTTCTAGAGGATGAAAGTAGCCATTAAATCTTCCTCACAGCACATTCAGTTTACAATTATGAAATATTTAATGCATGCCTTACTATAGAAATCCATCATGCACCAACACTTGGCCCATGACAAGAATTATGGAGCTATGAAAATGATTAAACATGTTCCTGATTAATAAACAAGTACTTCCCAATTTTTAATCAAAGTTATGTCCTGTTAAAAATTAGATGAAAAGACCACAGCCCCAACCCTGCCCAAGTGTCCTAGGCACAGAAAGAAGTTCCACCAAAAGAAGAATACATTTGGTCAAAAGATGACTCCAGATGGCTGCAGCAATGCAAAGAAACTGCACCCTGAGCTGGGAGATAAGCTCCACTTCTTTGGGGAAGAGAAATAGAGTCTGGACTGAAAACAGTTGATGGTGACCAGGCTAAATTTAGGAGGGAATTGTTGATGATGGAAGAAGGTAGAAGGGAAACAAATAAACATACAAAAAAATCATCATTTAATGTATCAACAAACTTAAGGACAGGCCTGATCCTCATCTGTGGCAAAAGTGAATGCCTGAGGGAATCCAACATCAATATGGTGATCTTCTATTAAGATCCTTTAAATCTACTGTGACTGTGAGACCTTCCAAGCCACTGTTCCAGTTTCTTATTCGGACACAGCTCTACAAAATACCATGTACAAAATGAATTAAAATATGGGTGCAGGGCTGTTTGAAAGCTGCAAAATCTAGAAGCAATGAGAAAGATCTTGATGCCATTGTCCTTACAAGACAAGAATCAGTGTAAATGGACATCACTAAAACCTCAAGAAGAAAAAACAAAACACAGCTCAATATTCACTGCTGCAAATCTCCAGCAAAAAGGACTGCATCTCAAAGGAGGAAAACATTTTGAGAACATATGGCCTGTCTAAGGGTTCTGGGCTCCTATATTAGCAAGAAGTCCAAAGGGAATGGGATCAAACTTGTGTAAGCCATCTACAGATATGCTGTAGCTGGAGACCAGGAGAAGTGACAGCAGAATTAGGCGTATGTTATGGGGGGCAGAGCAAGAGCATTTGGGAGATGCCCAGATAGCCTCTACCAACAGGGTTCCTATGGAACCTGGTGAGTTTGATTTTTCACTTCCCTAGCAGAGCATACTTGTGGGGGGGGAAGTATGAGAAGAGCTCTGGTAGGACCACAGGTACCTGTTCTCTGGGATTAAAGGTCTTTTCTCAGACACAGCTGCTTCTATGAGGGATGAGTGAACAATTTGCAACCTCCTTCTCCAGATGAAGAGAACCAGTCCCACTAAAGACTAGTCTAAGACACAAGGTGTGGGTCTGGATCTAAACTTCCCCAAATTTTAGGGAAGATCTGGTCTAGGGTTTGGTTTGATTCCATGTCCCTAATATGTACACTAGGCCACTGACACACATTACATTAAAGATGCAATTAACCTGTAAATTGAGCCTTAAATAGTGACCTGGCACATGGTTCAAGACAAGTTATGGCATGATAACACAGTAAACAAGCCACAAAGATAGTCTGCATATAATGTGTAACAACTTTGTGGCTTGCTTGTATTGTGCCTTAAGATGAATGTGTGTCAGGCTGGGGCTGGCCCACGAAGAGCCCCAAGGATATCAGAAAACCACATGTGCAGCTCAGCTGCACACAGTTTTTAAAGGTCCCAGCATGGTGGGACCCTGGAACTGGGATGCCGCAGTTTGATCACATAGGTTCTCTGTGCTGGGACTTGTAAAAACTATGTGTAGCCCAACTGAGGTTTTGATAATCACCTAATTGTAGGCACCCAGCTTTCAACTTGCTGCTCTGGTGGAACCCGGGATCATGGCAGCAGCACCGGCAAGTGAGATGCTATGGGGATGTAGTCCTTGATCCCAAAATTGCTTGTCCTGCTATATAAATGTGGCATGGCAGGAGGCATGATTGTTGCGATCAAGGCTCAGATCCCATCATGCCTTTAAATGAACATCTGTCAGTGGCTTTAGACTGTGAATTTTATATTGTTTGATGTCCACTAAAACAATTTTATCACATCTTGTGCACAGTGATGCAGATCTGTGGGTGTCTACACAAGACATTTACTGTGGGAGCTGCCTAATTAGCTCTGCAGTAAAATGCACTATCTACCCATGTGGTGTTATTAGGATAGAGTAAACTAATTAACTCTGTCATAGGATAGTACTGGTAAATACAAATACTATCCTACAATGGAGTTATTTACTCCACCACAACTCACATGTAGATGCTGACTTGGCTGGCTGGGGCACGGGTGCTTCAGTGTGGGGCTCCCTGCTGGCTAGCCCTACACTGAAGCATCCTTGTGCCCCAGCCAGCCCCTCTGCACCACACTGAGCTGGGCAGGAGCAAATCCAGGCTGGCAGGCTGACTCTCGGGGGGCCCCCTGCCAGCTGGGGCTGTTCTGCCCCGGCTCAATGTGCTGTGGTCATGGGCATATGCAAGCAGTGCAAACTGTGGCAGAGTTTATTCAGGAGCATTAATTTCACGTCTAGATGCACCCAGTGTCATCTACTTGCTTTCATCTACAAATTAATGCCACATTCTCCTTTTGCATTTGTACCTGTTTTCTTCATGCACATTTGATCAGCCTTAAGTGTCATAATCAGAAAAAAACAATCAGTCATACTTTCAGGTTTCCCAGTGTGAACTAAGTGTTGCTGATGAAATACATTTCACATGCATATAGCAGTGACTTGTTAAAATTTTTAAAGCATGTATCCATTAATTCCATTTACTATTGGTATATTTGTTTATAAACAAGATAGGGCACATTAAGTCATCTGGAAATAAGTGAATGACAGATGTCATAATACTCTGGGTCTGATTCACCATATCCCATTTTATTTCATAACCCATGAAGTTTGCCATTATACAGCTAGAATAACTTACTGGAATCTGGTCCTAGTTCTTTAGCTAAAAATAAAGCAGTTATATATAGACTGAAACTGGTAAGTTCACATACAAACCAAAAAAATAATTCAGATATTTGATTCACATGAAGTTGTACTTTTCAAGCAGAAATTTGGGAAAATCATGATATTTCTGGGGAAAAACACACACACACACACACACACACACACACACACGTATAATGCAGGAGAAAATCTTTAAGTCAGGATAATGATATCCATTTAGCATTAGCATCAACTCAAAAAAAAAAAATCGACATATTTCTTTTAGAGTTCTAACAAAATCTAGACCAACCTGTCTCTTTTGATACCTGAAGCCTTTTTTCATTACAAAATGCCCCTTGACCTCTTCTACCAGTGTATAATCGTTCTTCAGTGCAGTGGTAAATTACACCAAATTCAAGCTTTAAGATTTTGAAAAGGAAAGAAATGAATGCAACTCAGATTACTCATTACAAGGATAAACAACTACTAATGGCAGAAAGATTAGTATTCTTTTAGTTAGCACATATAATAAATATAAGTAATTTTACTGTTATGCTGAAATTTCAGAAACATCATAAAGTTTAGAAAAAGAAAAGCTAATTTTACTGTTCACCATGTTAAAAGGCTTTTCTGCAGCTTATTTGTATGTACACTACCATAATGAAATAAAAAACTGTTTTAAAATCCAATTTAAGATTTTATTACAACTACATAAGTCCTTCAGGGCCAGGTTCTGAATACTTTAGTCTTATTGGTGAGCAATTACACAGTGTAGCGCCATTGAGTTCTGTAGTACTGTCTGTACTGCTAAACTCCAGTATACAAAAATCAGGTTGTGGGCCCCCAAACTTATTGCCTTACAATCGTGAATTTTTTAGGAAAGAATACAGTCCAGTTCATTTGCCTTGTAACATCTGAAACCTTACCATGTACTGAAGTCATATTTTCAAAATTTTCCCTGAAAATTTACTACTACTTTTTTTTAACAGAGCTGGCATTCTCATGCAATCACTTGACTCCAGAAGCTGAAGCTTAAAAACAATACCAGGTATGGTGTGACTCACAAAAAAAAAAAATGATAGAGGGCAACACTGTGTACTTACCTACTTGCCAGTGGGAGTAATGAATTCGTAATTTGACCTTTAATAATCTATCCCTGAGGTACTTAATAATATTTTGCATTTCTTTACTAACTTATATCAAAATATTTTAAAGCACTTTATACGGCTTAATGATTAAATTGTACCACTACTATTTGGTAAGTATATTTATGTACATTTAATTTACGGGGGAAAGATACAGAAATTGCCCAAGGTTACACAAGAAGATAGTAGCAGAACTACAAATAGGTATCAAACCTCCTAGATTCCCAATCAGTACATGCAACAACAATCCTGTACTACTTGAGTAATCATCATTTACCCAATATTTCTCAAAGAGAGTCCTTGCTCTTCATCCTGAACACCTATTTGAACTAAGCAGGTGTAAGGCTCTGCCTAAGGATACTAAGTTTCTTCCCTAAACATATCCACAGGAATCTCTTCAGTAATATATAAGGCCTTAGTTCCCTTGTGTTAGTTTTGGTTCCTTTATTCAGTTATTTCCTTTTCTTTGCCCACGTCCTTTTTCGGATGGGAAGGAAAAGCTATTACCCTTTATTTCTGTTTTAGCTTCATATTTTAGTTTACAAAATCCCATAGACAGCTTCTAAAACATGAAGAGATGCCACAGAAAAAATATTTTTAAAATGTATTTCATAATTATATGTGGTATTGAAAGGTTCTGGGGAAGGTGTATTTTTATAATGTGATTGAAGTGTATCTCTGAAGCTTCTAGATTTTTTCAAGTTGCTGGGTGCATCTGCAAGTGTACTTTAATGCACATTAGCCTATTTTAATGTGCATTAAAGTGTCACAAAAAAACCCTTGTTCTTTAGCTAATGTGCATTAAATAGGCTAATGTACCTTTTTCTAGTACCTCACAATGGGGGTACAAGACTTAATACATGTTACCTAAAGTGCATTAATGAACATGCAGATGTGCTTGGTGAGTAGGTACTCAGCACCTGTTGACATCAGTGGGCATATCTACATGTGCATTAATGCACCTTTTGTAATGTGCATTAAGTTTAGTATTTCTGGGCATTTTTACACATGCTCCTGGAGTGGCGGGGGGGACCTTTAACTAGAGCGGCTCCAAAAGACGCTCTAATTAAAGTGCCTGGAGCGTCTTGTGTATCAGCGTCTACACACTTCAAAATGGCGGTGGGCGTGCTTTATCTAAAGCTTGTTGAAGTGTAGGGATGCTGATATACAAGACACGGAGACTGGCTAGAACACAGTAATTGCCATGCTCCAGCAGACTTGATTAATCAATTAACTGAGTCAGCTCTGCTGCACTATAATTAGAGTGCATTGGAGCAGCCTCTGGGCTCGTGTACAGGCACCGTCCAATGTGAGGTACTAAATTAATGTGCATTAGGCTGTGCTAATGCACAGTAGCACATTTGCACACATTTTTAGTGATGCTTAATGAGCAGCAGACTATTTTACTGCACATTAGTGTAATGTCATGGTTTTTTACGTGATAGTAAAATAGTCTACTACGCATTAAAGCTCAGGTGTAGACATTCCTAGTGGGAGTTGCTAACACTCAGCACATATGAAGATTAGGCCATTGCTGAGTTTGTCTGATGCTGCAGTCTTTGCACATGCAAAATTTCTATTAACTTCAATGGGAGCAACATGCTTTTAGAACTGGGGAAGAAGGGCCAAAGTGGTATTCTCATAAGTATAATGTGAATTCCTTAACAACACCAACTTTTCTTTTGTAAATCAAGCAGTAAGATTACAGTAGCTGGGCAAAGCCCTCTTTTGTGGACTGCTAGAACTAGGAAACTTAAAAAGAAGAGCATTCATGAAAGTTATCTTCTTTGTTTTTCTATGTTCAGGCTATCAGGAAGATGTATCCTGAAATAATATCAAGTTACTATACCTCAAAAACCACACAAAGGCAGATTAAATGCACCTGACTGATAACTTTATACATAGCACAGTAAGTAATTCCATAGTCTTCTACAGAGCAACAACTGGGTAAAAGTCCCAGAGACAGGTAGCAGATTTGAAGCATAAGGACAGGATCACATAAGAACAAGACAACACTATGAGATAAATACAGAAGTAAAAACGATGTGGGATATACCAGCAATCTTATGAACCGGTATTTTTGTAAGTGATCCCTTTTTAGTCATATACATTGTCTCAATATGGGACAGCTTGCATGAGTAAAGCTCTCAAGGATAGGGATGTTACACTGGTGTGGTATAACCAAAGTCCAATAACATGGAAGAGCTTGGGAATTAAGTTTTGGGTTTTTTTTAGTTCCCACATAGCTCTGAGGTTTGAAGCTAGATCTCAGGTTACCAACTTACAGAACATATTTTATACCTCTTGGTTAACAGCAAATCCAATGCTAACTGCCACTGTTGGAAACCTGTGAAAAATAAGAAATAAAGTACTATTCATGAGTAATCTCTCTAAACATGCAAACTGTAACTCCCATCCATGGCTGAAACCCACAGTGAGCACTAATTTTACTGAGGCTTAAGCTTAAAATTCAATAGCATAGTCACCCTCCTGGCCTTACACTTTGTCACTTTTTAAAATATATATATAAATCAACACTTAAAGACTTAAAAAATAAACCTGTTAATACATAAGTAAGGTTAGTATGCTAAATATAATGAACATTTTAGTGATACTTTTCCTTTAGTGTCATTGATTGATATAGTTTTAAATTACTAACATTACTGTAACAAATGACACAGTACTTACTCAAATATAAGATGGCCCTGAATATAAGATGACCCCCACCGATAATTAGATTCTATATATGGACAATTAATAAATTTGTTATAATTTCCTAGGTAAAGAATCTAAGTATGAGAGGGTTATCCTGAATCCCCGCCCCTCCCTTCACAGCTACATCAGGAATAGCAATGGCTAGAGAGGAAGGTCCAGGTGCCTCCTTTACCCTCTGTCCCATCCACTTCTTTTGCCTGCGGTCTTCCTGCCCCTCCTGCACCCCCAGCTCCCCATTGCCTCTGCCCCCCCACAGTCTCTGCCTCTTTTCCCCAAACACCCCTCAGTCTCTGTTCTTCCCCTTTCTTCTCCCCAATCTCTGACTCTTCCCCTCCCACCGTCCCTTGCTGTCAATGCTGCTTGGGCTGCTCACCACATGGAAGCTCAGCTCTTGCCTGACCATGTAGCAGTGTTGGTGCTATTGATTGGCCAGCCAGGGGAAGAAGTATCCATGTGCTCCGTGCCAGGAGAGATTCCAGCCCCAGCCAGCGCCGAGTTGCACCTGACAGTAAGTGTAAGCGGCCGGGGGAGGCAAAAGCTGCAAGCAGGGTGGGGGGGATGACAGGAGGCTGCTGTGGGTTTGACTCTGGCCCTGACCCAGGATTAGGGGCAGTCAGAGCCACAGCAGCCTCTGTGTGCAAATATGTGATGAGGGACTTTCCCCCTATGCTGATTGGGGGAAAAACTTTGTCTTATATACAGGTAAATATGGTACTTTTATATACTACATGCACATTTCATCTAGTGATCTCTGAATTTTACAGGCCTCAATTAAGGAACTAGACAGGGTAGAGATGCGCTTTAGAGACTAACTAAATCATAGATGCATAGGCTTTTGTGAGCAAATTCATGAGGGGCTGTCTGAATGGAGCTCTTGCTCCTGAAAGTTTGTGCATCTCTTATTCAGTTAGTCTATAACTGGTCAGGCAGATGCCACTGCCATCTGCCTGACTTCAAACATGGCTAACTGCCTCTCAATTAATGTGGTTAAGGAAAGATACTTTGTTGCTGACATCAACAATAAGTTAAACCTGTTATATCACTCTTTCTTGCCAAAGTAGTAACTATGTATTTAACTTGCTTCTTCTGACTGAAATATTAATCATCACTCAATTTCACTAATGAATTCATAAAACAACATTTTCTTAACACTTGAAGAAAAATGTAGATTAGCTTCAGAAAATATTACTGGAAGGAGAAATTTTGCCAAAGTAGATGAAACACCAGTCCCCAAAAACTGGGCCAAATCAGCCATGGAATACGTACATATACTTCCCCTGAAAGAAAGCATTTGCACCAGCACTAATTCTGTCTTATCGTTATTTCAAGACAAAATATAGCGAACGATTTTTAGAGGTAGTGGAGCTGTCAAGCTGTGGTGGACAATATTCTGCTTTAAAAAATTGTATTTTTAGTTAAAGTTGTAGTTTTGTGGTCCCAATAACTGTTATGTATTTTTTTAAATCTTATTTTAAAAAGTTTAAAAGTTAGATCTATGGTATGCAGTATATAGTAATATTGTATTTGTATTCAATGTTTTCAGATATTTTGCATATGTGATAGTTACCTGTTTCAGTGCAAACTGAAAATACATTCCCATGGGAAAAACTTCCACTATTATTAGTAAATGACATAGAAAACAACTCCACTTATAGTTATGTTAAAAGCATATAACCATATAGCTTTGTTCCTCCTATACAGTTCAAGTCTCTACATGTTAATGTGTAACAGGAAATCTTGAATCAGAGCTACCTCTGTAAGATTAACTAAAGAAAAAGGAGAATTTTTAGCTTACAGTTCAGGAACAATTATACAGCTCTTCATAGTCTCTCTGACATATTGCACAGGATATAAAAAAATAGTGGGATAGATCCTGCAGATCTTTCTCAGGCAAAACCCCACTGACTTTGAAAATGCAATACCATACATGCTAAATAAACTCAACACAATAAAATATATTTGAACAAAACAAGAAGAAAAATGTATGAGAAACTGAATTGCAAGATTTTCATAATTCTCCATTTTTCTGTATTTACCTGTGCACAAAATTGCAGGTTCCATCAACAGGATCAATAATCCAGGTTGGGCTGTCAGTGAGGACACATTTTGAACCAGCAGCAGTAGACTCTTCTCCAATAAACCTGTACATGACATGGAATAAAGCAGTGGGGGCCAACCTTTTTGGTAGATGTGCCACAAGTTAGCCCACCACCCTCCCTGAGTACCACTTTGAACCCCTTCCCCAGCCTGACCTGCAGCTTTGCTTTCTGTTTCCTGTGCTATTAACCACTGTGAAGCCCATTCCCTCCCTGATCTGTCATATGGCATATGCTGAGGCTGCCCATGCTACTTGTAGTTGGACAACCCTGGAATAAAATGTGGATCAGAAAACTGAAACTGATCTTCCCGGGTGCTGGGGGCTACTGTTACATTATTGATTTTTCTTCATTTTTTCTTTGCTTTTTGTTTTGTTTTCTTTTGTTTTAGCTAGAGGGGGAAAACAACAGAAACAACTTATTGCCCTCTTTCACAGAAACTTTATAAAGAAATTCCCAAAATGTATTAAACAGAAAAAAATAGTTTCCCCCACCTTATGCATCTGGAGGTGGCTCTAAACTGAGAATTTGGAAGAAGTACAGATCTGGACTATAATATTAATGTTCAGGCCCCTCTCTGGCATAAGTAGTATAAGTTGCAAAATGTATTTTCCATTCCTTGCAGGCAGATTTGGTCAGCAAGAAATAATACAGCTTAGGAAAACTCACATTCCTACTACAATTTTTAACAATGGCCTGGGTCAGGAGATAAATTTCACAAAGCTGACCTCTTTTTTTCCCATGACCTAGAGAAAGTCAACAACATTTTTTTAAAACCCCAAAAGGCACACTGTTGCTCTATACTGTCCTAATTTCTTTCAGTAGGCTCCCCTCCTCCCTGCTTCAGGGAAGTGTACGTGCAGTTCTGGCATACTTCCTGCTGTTCTCAGTAATCTTTGCCAGACAACTCAGGGCCTGATTCAACAAGTGCTTTCTCTGTGGCACCCCTGCTTTTTTCAGTGTCAATTCTATATACAAACTGTCTGTAGGATCAGGATGTTAGGGCTAAATTTTGTCTTCTGTAGCACACCACAGAGTGTTTGGGCTTTGTACAGGGAATCCCTGCAAAGGAGGGAGCCTCCTAGTCTAGGACCTGAAGAGAACAAGGGAATCTGAAGGGACCTGGATCCCCTTTGCAGCTGCTACTACCTTACTAATAACTACAGTGGCCTCCACCACTAAGGATGTGAATTCAGAAACATTCAAAATGTGAATTTAAGACTTTAAGAAAGGCTGAATTCAGTGGTAGAAGCTTCTAGCCAAATACAAAGCCACACAGACTCTTTATCACAAAGTCACTGTAGAATTATCTGTGGCAGATAGCAGGGAATTTGCAGGGCAGAATGAAGTGAATAAAGAAAGATATCTTCCATGTTTTGAGGGTGCTGGTTGTAGCCGTGTTGGTCTGACATAGGCAGACAAGGTTCTGTGGGTAAATGTGATATCTGTTATTAGACCACCTAAATGCTATTACGTGGTCTAATAACAGATATCACATTTACCCAAAGAACCTTGTCTGCCTAAAGAAAGAAATTTATGTCTGCGCAGAGGACTAAACCAAGAGCTCATATAAGCTTTTACACAGGACACAAAAGACAAAGTCAGGCCCCTGTGGCCTCTTCCTGTACCCAGTGAAATCCATAGCAACAATACCATTGATTTCAGTGACACTGGCACATTTCAAGCCCATAGCACATTGAAATGATGATGCTTTATTTATTTATATTTTAGACTGATATGCTGTCCTATACAAAAAGGGCCTTGTGGTAACAGTAATGTAGTTAGTACAAAAAGTCCAAGCTGCTCCACCATGTTTTCCTATGCCAAGATTCATTAGAAAAGAAATGTAAAATTCTGACATTTTGAAAAGTCTAATTTCAGTGCATCAGAGTACTTATATTTATACTTAAAGGTTCCCTTTATTCTCAAATAATCAGTAAAGCAAAAATGTAAACTGATCAAACTAGTACACTACCACCTACCAATCAGGACAGCAAAGAAGGACAACCTGCACAGAAATAAGGTTTCAACAAACTTTTCCAGTACTTATTTTACTTTTGTAAAATCCTCTTGGCACTAGCTGGTTCACTGAAGATTTTTCAGAATGCATTATTCTGCTACATCACAAATACCATAGATTGCAAAGAAACCAGACCACAATAGAGCAGAGATCCCTGCATGACTCTCATTCTCTGATCTCAGGAGATTCCCAAGGACAACTGAGTGCACAGGAGAGCACTTATTGGCTGCTCTGTTTCCCCAACCTATATATAAAATGTAGGCTTAAATATGCATCTGGTTTGCTGCATATAGTCTGTATATGCATCCCTATATATCTATATATCTATATAAATAAATACATGCTTACATGTACATCTGGTCAAAAACAAACTTGCTAAAATCTTACCAAACAACAAAAAATTAATTATCTTAAGGAAACAGTAGGTTATATTCAGTCAGAAGCTAGGAAAAAATGTGGACTGATTCAAAGTTGAAGTTGACTGCATAGGGTTAATAAACTCATATGTTGGAAACCATTTCTGGGTCTATGTTAGGCTTAAAACTGCTACTCCTGTACTGAATAGCCTGAGTACTTTTAATACCTGGATTATTCTCATATTATGTGAACCTTGTATGTTACACTTCCTTGGTCAGAGCATTGTGGAAAACTGAGGGCATTTACACACATGCAAGGAGCCTGCTGCAACATGCTGGAGATCCAGTGTGTTGGAGCAGATTGAATAATCAAGTCTGCTGGAGCACATAAACTGATGCACTCTGGCAGCCTCACACATGTGTATCAGTGGCGCAGCTCGCTTCTGCACTGAGAAAATGGCAGCAGTGTGCTTTGAACTAAAACATGTTCAATGTGTTTTAGTTCAAAGCACCCTGCTGCCATTTTCTCGGCATGGGGTTGTGCTGCGTGGCTCATATACATGATATGCAGGTGCTTTTAATTAGCACAACTCACTAATTTCAAGTGCCTGGCACCGTGTCAGAAACACATGTAAAAATGACCTAATTTATTACAGAAAGAATAAAACCATAGCCTGTAGTACTCTTTAGAGAGAATATAACACAAATAACATTAATCACTGTCTTCAGAATTGCAGCCTATTGTAATACATGTACCTTTACTATTACTGCTTCTGTAGTTGACCACATATGCCGTATATTTAGAAAGATAAATTTAATCAATTATTTTTTCCTACTCAGTTCCCCTCTAAACATGTACTTTGCTGCAGCATAATAAACAGGATCAGTACTTTCAAATATGCTGCATGCTATTCAAATCTTTCAGCCAAGTTTTCACTGAAATTCTATCATATTGAAATTTACTTTTATGCTTAAGGCCAGCTTTATGACCCACTTAAGATCTCCTTAAGTTATATGTACAGGCTTTTCAAAGATTTAAGCAATGTATAGGCTTTGTATTGGCCTTCTGTGGAAGGCTGACTTTTGATTTAAGCATTTAAACTCAAACATGGAAATTGAGGGCACCGTTTATATTTTGTGTGCATCAAGCTGAACTTGGCCACATTTCATAAAGTTTATCTCAAATCACTTCAAATTTTATAATGAGATGGGTCATGGTCTCTACTACAAAGGATTACTTTCAATGTGACATTAGTACTGTAGGGTAAGTTTTTTCACCTTTTATTCTATATAGGCTAGGAGTCTGAGGTGTGAGGACGATGGCCACCCATGGATCTTATTGACTTTGGAACCCTCAATATTCAGACATTAAACAAAATAAACATTATTTAGCATCATAATCCTGATCCTGCCAGCTTTTTTGTATGTGAATAGAACAAAATTATTCATGAAAGTAATTACAGAATTGAGACAATAGATACCATTAAATTCAATTTGATTCTAAAGCCATTTGTTTAAATAATCTTAGCATTAAGTTACACCAGACAAAAGATGCAGCTCTATGAACAAACAAAAGTTCATAATTATGGGGAAACAAAAGGGTTTTATATTTTATTACTATTCAAATAAATCCAAAGAAGTTGCAGAATAACCTTTAAGTACCTCACATGACAACTTAAGCTAAACTGAAGTAATGATACTGGTCGGCTGATGAGAAATACAGTGAACCGTTTCAAATTGGCAACATGAAAATGAATCTGGAACAGTGATTTTTAAAGAAAGGAAGCTAGTAAAAATGTCCAATCTAGTGCTTATTTTTTAATTATTAAATCCAAATATTTTTTAACAAAAGAGACAGTAACAAATTGATAACTGGCACTACAATTAAATTAGGCTATAAGTAGATGAATTCATGTTTGCAAATATTATCTGTTTCACAGAGGCTGACTCCTCTGTTTTCCCTCTAAGGCCAACTTCATACAGGGGTTTTATATGTAATAGGGTCATAGGCTGTTTTCTTTTTAGCAATACTTACCTGTGGGAGGGAAACTTCTCTTTCAGAGCAGAAATAATTAAGTTTTCCACAAACTGATCAGTTTCGGTCACAAGATCTGATGCAGATGTTTTTGTAGACACTTGTTTTTCCTCTGTAAGAGCTTTCCTAATAATCTGAAAGAAAAGTACACACACATTTATTTCTGAAATTCCTTCCATAAACACTGAAAAAGTATATTACACAATCAGAGAGAGAGGGAGTTAGCCATGTTACTCAGAAGGTGGGATAGATTTGTTCTTTGAAGACTAACTAAATAGTTGATCTACCCTGAAAATGTACCCTACCGTCTACCAAAGTACACAAGGTTAATTTTTGTGCCGAAAATAAAGTTAAAGCTCTGTGCTCCCATTAAAGCAAAGGGATCCAGTTCTGGTACTCAATATCCATTCTTTCTCTTCATGAGCTGGGACAAATGTAGAGGTAATGAGCTCAGTTGTACATCTGTGAAGGACCTTAAATCACTTGGCATCTACAACAACAGGCTGGATGTGTCTACACATGCAATTAATGCCTAGAAAGCTTACTGCACAGTAAGCTTTCCCCAACAGGGTGCCTATATGTGCTCCCATCAGAAGCAAATTTGCTCCCAACAGGAGCAGTTCAGTTCAGGGCTACTCTAGCCCTGGTGTGCCCCATATAGGATCCAGGGAGAGTTTCAGGCTTCCCTGGCTGGGGCAGGGGACACCAGAGTCAGACTCTGCCTCCCAATCTGATCTGTGGAGCAGGGCATGGGACTGGGAAAGTGTGCTTTCCTGCAGCTGCTACTTCCCAGCCCTGTGCCCTGATCAGATCAAGGCAGGGGGCTAGGAAAGAGTCCCCTCCCCTGCAGCTCATAACCAGACCCCTGCCCTGGTCAGTTGGTGGGGCCACTGGCAGTAAGCCCCTGACTAAGCTGCAGAGGAAGGAAAAGCTTCCCAGTCCCAGCTCTGCTTCTGTGGGGAGCCGGGAACCCCACGGCACTGGGATGGGGGAGGGAAGGCAGAGAGGAACTGACCGGGTCCCCATGCTGATCAGCTCCCAGCTCCTTGGGGGAGCTGACTGCTGAGCAGTGGGCCCCCTGCTGGTGTGGCTGACCAATCTACTGTGCAATAAAGCATTTTGTGTAGACACACCAGCTGTGTGGGAAAGATACTGACAAGCTCTGGTGGGGGAGAGAGCCACCATGATAAAAGTTGAACAACAGCTTGTGCAGCATCTGGATAAATTACACAGAAATTTCATGGAAGAAGGAGGCAGGGCTCCAACATTTTAATTTGCCTTCCATTGGGAATTAAAATATTAAAAAAACCCTATATACACAAAATAAACCATACTGTTTTGGTTCATAAAAAAGCCTTTTATATCAGACTTAGGCAAAGGCTTTCAAAAATACCTGTGCAATGTTGGGGTCTTAAATCCATAGGCATAGCCTTATTTTTAAGTGCTAAGTATCCAATAGCTCTCAGTTAAATTGGTGGCAAGTTATAGGTGCTCAGCAAGCAAAAAACTCAGATAATTATTCAAGTGCCTAAATATGGACCTAGGAATCTAACTCTGAGCATCTTTTTTAAATCTGGGCCTTCTGTTTTAAAAACCTTTACAGCCGTACTAAACTAAGCCAAATCCAATACAGAAATATGAAACATCATATGAATTAAAACATCTTCCTACCTCCACCTCTCTCTTTATGCTTGTTACTGAGATGCAAAATAGAAAATGAGACACGGTGAGAGTAGAGAAACAGCTGATTTATTTTTAACCAATAAAAATGATAAACTATTTAAGATAAAAGGAAGTCAAAACAGTCAATAAGAGCAACAAATGCTACTGCTCTATTTGTACATAACTACACTAAATTAAAAAAAACAAACAGTACCACACTGCTATTGCAAACTCATGTCCTTTGGGGATATGTTTTCTCTAAATCCTTCAGTCAAAATTGTGTGGCACCAAAGTATTTTAAACTTACCAAAGGAGAAGCCTTTTCTTTTTGAACAAAACTTTTCTAATGTACTACACCTGGGGCTAGAAGCCAAGAACTCCCAGATTCTAATGTCATTTCTTTCACTTGTCTGTCATAAACCAAAATACTATAGTTGAAGGGTTTCACATCTGCTAACTCCTACACTGAGCAGCCTGACATATGATCTGGACAGCAGACTTTTGTGAGGCCTCAGGAAAGTCCCATGACCTTTCTGTCTCAGAATCATCAGCAATAAAATATGAGTTATATTTGTGTATTTAACTCACAGAGGAACTTCAAAGATAAGTATTTTATATCTGAATATGCTATATAAATGTCTTTCTAGTATTATGTAGCAAAATATTTACTGCACCAACCTCTTTTTAATTTCCTTATGTCTGGCCCTATTTTTCCTGGCAATATTATCATAGACCCATAGAAATGTAGAACTGACGGGGATCTAAAGAGATACGTCATCTGACCCACTGCCTAGTTTCAGATAGAAACCAAGAAAGCTGACCCCCCCTCCCACCATGGAAGTGTGTCTAATCTGTTCTTCAGATCCTTCAGTATGTAATCTGTTACAACACTCCTCTGAGTTAGAAAGTTTTCCCTAATATTTACCTTCAGTTTCCATTATTGCAAACTAAGCTGGACAAAATACTTTAGCTGGGGCACCAACAATGTCAACAAGTATGGCAGAATAATTACCTACTGTAACTTACAAATAACACTCCTGTTAATGCACCTTAGAATAACATTTGCCTTTTTTCATTGTTGACTCACCTTGGTGCCATTTGCAAATTGTATATGAGTTCCCTCTTCCATCATCCAAGCCATTAATGAAAATATTGAAGTACTTATTGGACTCAGGACAGCCCCTTGCAGGACCCTATCTGAAATGTCCTCCCACTTGACAGTGAACTGTTGATAACTATTTTGGATTCTCAATCAGTTGCACACTCACCTGATGGAAATTGCAGCTACAGCATAATTCTCTCATTTGCTTTTGAGAACCTCAGGTATGACTGTCAGAAGCCTAACTAAAAGCAAGATACTGTATACTTAACCTGGAGGCATACATCTACCACTCACCACCCCTTCATCCAAAAGGCATGTGATTCATGTTTGCACCCCCAGCAATGTTAACATTGCGTGGCACTCTGCAACAGCCTTGAAAGGATTTTGAAGCACCCCAGAGTACCATCGCACCCTGGTGGAGAATCACTAGTCTCAGTGTTTGCAGGTTTGGGATCTACTTTTATTGTGTGTTCTCAAAACATTTACACCAATTCATTGTTATTGGTTTGTACCCAGTTCTGAAGCATTTCTTCCCCCTACCCCTTTGACAAAGGACTAAATTGTGACTTTAGGTACAACTCTGAACAAGGGATGGTGTATACATCACTCCACCCTGGGAGGTGTTCTGATTTAGAAACATCTCTGACCAACAATGCCTTTTCTGCTTCCTCTTGCACCAGGCATATGCCAGCCACAACTTACAAATTTCAAGCCTTTCCTATATGAACAGGCCCAAGGTCTAGGTAGGCTATATAAAGGCCTAAATGAGGTACATTCTTACTGACTCCTACTTATGTCTTCTGGCATTAAATCCAGCTTTTTATTTATCATCAATTAAGTTTACTGAGTATTTCATACTGGACAAGATTTTGATGCCCCTCTACTTATGCCTTACATTATGAGCACATCTACCAAAGTTAGTGGTTCAACTTGTACAGTAAGATGCTTCTGCATGTGAGTGAAAGTTTTAGACTGTGGCCCTGTAGTAACTGCAAGTGGAAAAAAGTACAGAGTATATATACCCTACAATCCGATTATGTTTGTCTTCTTACAAAACACTTGAGATAAGTTTTATAGTCACTTGCTGTAATTGGCTAGCCTGCCAAATTAGGTGTGGAATTATATAAAAGATTCCCTCAAGAGCTATAACAATAGATAAGTGGAAACTGTTCTCTTATCAAGTAAATAAAAATAGCTGAATTTTTTCTTATCAATATTGTATAGTGAATCTAGAAAACAGATATTGTATTTTGGCTGTAAAAGTAGTATCTAACCTTCATTATCAGATTAGAGTTTGTCCACAGATTCATAGATTCATAGATTAAGGGTCGGAAGGGACCTAGTAGATCTTCTAGCCCGACCCCCCGCCAGGGCGGGAGAACAACAAAAAACCCCAAAAAGAGAAATGGGACTCAAACGAGTCCAGCCAGGTAGGCATCCAGCCTCTTCTTAAAGACCCCCAGGGTAGGGGCCAGCACCACTTCCCTTGGAAGTTGGTTCCAGCTCCTAGCCGCCCTAACCGTGAAGTAGTTTTTGCGGATGTCCAATCTATA